TTAATAAATATTCAAACACACACAATTATCATTTTAAAATTGTCTACCATATTATTAAAATAAAAATTTCAATACCAATTTCACATGTCTACTCTAGATGATAACATTAAAAAAAAAAAAATTGTATGTTAAATAAATCCTGAAATACTAGCCAAATCAAAAGTTCATTCTTTCCTAAAATTTTCAAGTCATAATTTCTTAAGTTCATCACTCATTGGCATAAAGGCCCTTGCCAACCTTTCACGCTCCATCAAGTAAAGAAATGAATAAATCTGGGAGAAACAAAGAATATTTTTGTGAAGTATGAGTGGATCCCACAATTAAGAAGCGTATGGACTATGAAGTACCATAGGTTAAAAAGAAGCCAATTTTTAGACTTCCATTAATAATATGCAAACAAACGAGGCACAGGGCATAGGGCACAGGCAGCACATCCTCTCCGAAAAAGCTATGGTACTTCTGGAATCAATCAAATAACATAATGGAAGGAACTAGGAAGGCCCCCTCTCACATTGCCACAGTATTTTTCAATTTTTCACTTTTGTCCTCCAAGTTTCCTCACTCTATTTCACAAGTCAGGAGTGGTTTTTTTGTCATTTGATATTGAATTTCCACTTTTGTCCTCATAACTTTGTTTCTCTAGTTCACCTGTTATGGGGGGGCATGTCTATCATTTGGTGATCTCTTCCCATTGTGCCTTTTTATCTCCGTTTCTCCATTTCACATATGGGGTGGTTTTTGGGTCATTTCAACACATAAAGGCAGGTTGTTCTTTTTCGTTCTGTGTTTTGTCAATGCAATTTCCATTTTATTTTTTTGATTCAGTTTTCTGAGACTGGTCTTTGTTCGCTGATTTTGATTAAAGAGGAAAATCACCTTCTAGGTTTTGGCTAGACTAGTTATTAAACTTAAACCCGCTCTGTGGGTGTAGTCTTTGGTTCATCTTTGTAACAGCTCAAGTTTGAATAGGTTACAATTATTAAGATTTTATAGGGTAATGAATATAACAACGTGGGAATCTAAATTATAAGTCAAGAATACCAGTTGTTATCATTAGAAAATAACCATACTTTCACAAAAATAAAAATTTTTAAAATGTCCTAAACATGAAACTTATTTTAATTAAAATTTTATCTTATCTCCATCTCTAAAGCTACAACCACAAGGCACACTATTTCAATGCATTGGGCCATCAATGTATAATATTTTCTTCCTACTTCCAAGTTCAAAAGTTGTCCTAAGGGGTGGGTAAATCATTCTACTTATCCTAAACATCGAAAATTATCAAATGAAAGAAAAGAGAATTATAATTTATAACAAATGATTGTCAGAATAAAAATGCATGGGCTGGGCAGCTCTGTACTCACCTTTCTAGATGCTACTTAACTATTTTAACCTTAAATCCCTATCATTCTTAACATTCTCACCTCAACTTCTCTTCTCGATGTGCAGATGAAGGGTCGTGTGGAAAAAGATGTTGATGAGAGGAAATAGAGCTAGGGTTTTCACGCTGGACAGGGGATCTAGGAATTGAAAACATGATTTTCCTCTTCCATGATTGATGACCAAAGACCAGATTTTAGAAGACTAAATAAAACACATAAGAGGAAATAGATCAACCTAAACATTGCAAAAACACAGGAAAGCAACAAGACCTAAAAGCCACATTCCAAGAGAAAGGGAGACACAAAGCATCAAGGGCAAAACAACTAAAAACCCATACAAACGTAGAAAAAGCAAGAAGAATCTGGTATTACTAATAGTGTTATACACAACATAAGTAACATAAAAATATGGTGTTGGCAAACCCCAAGAAGCCATAAAATTATATAGACTAAAATCCAAATATGTTAATTACCTCACACCATAAACAGGCAACCTTATTGGAGAAAAACCAAAACTAAAATACTTGGTGATAGACATAAAATCTTTCCACAAATCAATCCCTCCCTTCAAACTCAAACCACTCCTGGGCTTATAAAATTAATAGTTACTTAACTCTAAACCATGAATGAGATTAAGTCACAAGTAACATTGAGCACAAATACACATGGATGAGTAAATGCAAGACCCAATCGGTATAAATTCAACCAAGGTGCATAAAATTAGTTCAGGCAGCATATAAAGTCACAAACCACATGAAAATGAATCCATAATACTGCAGCATATGATCTAACTATCAAAAAAAGAAGGCTTTCAAAGTTAAAATAACAAAAATACAAAAAAGACTCAATTACAACCATATGAATTTCAGAACAAAATAGTCAAAAATCATATGGAGAGAACAATCAGCTACCAATGATCTAAACAAATAAAAATGAAAATCATGCTCCCATTTCAACAATGTAAATCATTCATGGCAAATCAAAATTAATGAATAACCAGAATTCGTCTAGATCTGAGATAGCTTGGTTCTATGTATACTTGAAGCTGTGGAATCCCTTGCTTCTATTAATTCCCCTTTTCTTAGTTTCTTCCAATTTTGATAAAATCCATTTACTTCCTTCAGTTTCTTCTTCCAAAGAATTAGGTGGAAACTGCAAAACAGAAAAGAAAGAATTATAAAAATAATTTGTGGTAAGAAATTAAAAGAATTAAACAAATCCACATGAACAAATAGAAAATACAACACAAGAAAAAAAAAGAAGAAGAAGAAAGAAACGCACCTCCTCGATATGTCTAATTCATGCCACTTGCTCTCCCCCTCTCCAGCGTCAACTATCTCCTCAAATGTGTATAGAAAGCATGATTTATCACTATAAAACTTGTTGTAGGTATCTTATTCAAGTAAGCAAAAGATACAGTCACATATTTGTTATCGACATAAGATCTCGAATGTTTACTATTTTGTTTAAACATCAATTTCTGTTATGATACGTAAATTTATTTTGGATTTCTTCCCTTGAATCCTAAACATAAAAAATATTACAATTCAACTCATATATAATTTCTAAACAAAAAAAAGTGCATTAGTTGCAATTAGGAAAATACAAAGCTAGTAGTTAGACTTTGCAGGTCCACCATCCTTCAACCATAGCTCAAGCAGCGTGCAATCTCCCAGGAGCAACACAATTACCTACAATCTTGGCAACATGTCCACCATCCTTCTCATACCTTGTTGGCCCACAACTGTAATAATACGTAAGGATGTGGACTGATTTCTCTAAGTTAGAATTATTGCATTTGAGACACATAAATACAAAGAAAATAAAACCAGCAAAAAAGAAAAAGATTTAATTTCTAGGTAATTCTTTAGCACGACGCTAATTTTGTCATATTTATCATCCTTATATACTAAAGATATATATATATATATATATATCAAACTTTAAGACATTTGCAAGTTTAAGGGGTCATAAAGATAATGAGAGGTAACTATACTCCTATTGTCAACAAATGTTATCTCCCACATGGTATCATTAGAGAGAAAAGAGGCAAATAAGGATATCAACTTCATACTTTTTTTTTATTTGAGAATGTTAATTTTGTCAGTTTTCAAATAAGAATATCAATTTTTAACTTTTTCTATTTAAAAATGCTATCAACTTTTTCTATTTAAAGATTAATTGGATAGTGATGTTATCATGGCAAATGTACTTTTTAACTGAAAAAAGTTAAAAGTTGACAATCCTTAAATGACAAAGATAGGGGAGAGGTGTTGAAAATAAAAATGAGTATAAATACTCTCCTTGAGTCATGTGAAAGATTAAGAGACAAAATAGAAGGAATTCAAGATGATTGAAAATGAAATTCCCATACCCAACTAAATTATAAACATATTCCTCACAAGAAGCTAATAAGTACTAATAAATCAAAGCCCTCCTAAATCTTCGATAGTCTTTTTGTTATCAATTTGAGGTCTGACTAGTATTTCTTTTTCAACAACCATATGGTAAATAATTTTGATGTTTAAAGCACAAGATACCTCTATTCTCCTGATAACATATTTGATGTCAGAATTCAAGTTTTCTGCCAGGTCATCCAAACAAACTAAACACAGCCTGAAAAGAAAAGGACAAGTAGATTCAATCAATCAGATGCATTGCAATTGACAAACATAAATTATAAAAAAGATTCTATGAACCTGCTGCATGAAGCTAATAAGCTACATCAAAAGCCATATCTATCAATTTTTTTTATTAAAAACAACCACCAAATTGCAAAAAATTATATTTTTATGAACACAAACCATTCTTACACGCTTTGCATGTATAGAAAATGCACATCTATCATTCCAGAGAAGCCAAACCAACCTCTTGCATGTCTATTACAGAGTTTCCAATTTATGTTCTTACTGAAATTCTAGCCCCAAAAAAATTTGCACAACATAATCAATATTTATAATGTCACCCTCCAAAAATAAAAGTCAAAACAATCATGAACTCAAGATCAAATCCCAGAAAATGATTAATCAAAAGCATGAAAACGAACAATCTTAGATAACAGCAACAAAGATAGCTCCAAATGAAAATAAGTAGGACCTACAATTGGAAAAATCTTTGGATGAGAGAAAGTAGTCAATGGTTCAATCTCTAGACTTGCAATGAAGACAACTACAAATCAAAACACATTCTTAAAAACTGTTACCTTGTTGCGAGCTTTCAAGAGGATAATCGGCAACATCAACAAATTAATCTGTTTGTTTCAGATATCATGCTACCGTCGTTTGTTCAAGATTGCTGCCACAAATCTCTAAGCATGCTACCAGGGATGTTTCTGCTATAAATATGCGCAGAAGAAACGAAGTAAAAAAGATCAGCCTCTCACACAACTAGTCCAACGCTATCTACATTTTAATTTTACAAGCAATGTCTTAGTTTAGATTCAACTTTCTTAAACAGTTTTTCTAGTTAAGTCTTTAACTCTAAACTACCATTAGTTTTAACTCTAGTTTTTGTTATTTTGTTGTGAACATCTTCACTTAATGTATTTAGTTTTCTACAATTCAATTTGTTGCACTTTGCCCCAAATTCATCTTTTTAGCTTCTTTTAAGTTTTGTTTTATACTTTGTCTTTTATTTCATTTTTTATGCTTTCATGCTTTCACGACAGCATCACGCTTTCTCTCTACAATTTAATTTTCCTGCCATGAACTCTCTTTCTTCTCTTTTTCTTTATTTTTCTCTTTTATTTTGATCAACAAACTAATATTTTGGCTATAATTGTGGGAAGTCATTGATATTCTTGTAGGACAATTATTTATGGAGCTTTATGTAGACATGCACCCCCATTTCTGCAACAATCGTCTGATCAGAATGCATCTCATAATTTATTTAACCAGTGCTTTTCCATCGACTTGTAGTCGAGTTCCATGCTTATAAGTAGTGAGGGTCACTGGGAATCCCTCTTTCTCACTTTGATCAAAGTGAGTAACATGCTTTCGTAGTCTTATCTGCCATGCAGTCAAAAAGAGAGATTTTCAAGCAACAATATCATATCACTGGCACTACTCCAACTTTTAACATTTTTTCATTTTTATGTTGAACGACTATCTTGCCCTTGACCTTGTCACCCAAGCCAACATCGACTAATTTCCCACTATTTTCAACACTGTACGTAGTACTGATAGAAATAGAATAAATAAATAAAAGAAGTTTCATCAAAACGACTAATTTCAAAAATAATAATAAAATCATAGCCTGCACTGCATTCTTGGGCCAGTGGGAAGGTGCATCATTTCATTCAGCCCAAGGGCTGTGTTCAACTCCTCCATCCCCTACAATTGTAATAGTTCCAAAGAAAAAAAAAAAAAACGACCATGAAATTGGAAATACTACATAATGGATGTGTTAATGAGGAATTCCAAATTTTAAATGATTTTTGCGTGGTGAAGGGAGTCACAACTTAATAAGGGCACTTAAAACCCATGCATCTTCATAATCTCAGTAGCTTATGCTGCTAACAACCACTTAAAATTAAAAAATAAAAGGATTTGAAAATTAATTGAAAAAATGATTAAAAAAAAAATAGTTTGTTACTTAACTAAATTATAAAGTGAGATAAGTTAAAAGTTGAAAAAAAATAACTCATAAATTAGTCTGTAATCAGTGGTTTTTTACGTTTAATAATAATTATTCAAATATTGCCAACGATTTGTTGATTTGAGTAAAATAAATTTGGTTTTTTTTAAATAAAATTTTTAATTCAAATCTTGTAAATAAAGAAATAGATATTGAGAAATCTTCTTCCTAATGAAATCTGACATGATTTGATTTCAGATTAATCGAGATCCAACGTAATTAAGAAGTGAATACCAAAAAAATAATTATTCAAATATTGAGCGGCAAAGTGAAAACTAATATCATGAAGAGATTAAAGCACAGCTTCAGAGTAGACATATGCACTATCATCTTACATCAGAACATTCACAATATAAAATAGTCAATATGACAATATAATAGTTTCGACAGGAGAATAATAGCATCCTACACCAGACATTGTAAGAAAACTTGTAGATTAACAATTTCAGGGGGGGCAAGAGATCATTCACAATGGCAAATTGTCTAAGTCATCACAGTAAAATTACCAGCAAACTTACGGCACTCTCCTGTTTTTAAATTCTTGGAGAATTAGAAGGCCCACTAAACACATACCTTCTTGCTTACACCCAAATGGTGCCGAGAATGGCTGGAAGGAGTACTCGTGGAAGCAGACGGGGACAGGTTGAAAGAAGATCAAAACGACATGATAAAAATCTTGATGGGCCTGCTTTGCCTTAATGGGCTGATGCTATTATAAGCCCAAAGAAAAGATTCGTTAATACTTATGAGGGGCGGCCTAGCGACTGTGAGTAGGTGAACAGTAAACTCACCCAGTGACTGTATGTGAACTCACCAGTCATCGCCCACCAAGACAAGAGAGGTTTTTTGTATGGATCAGGCCCATCACAAAAACGAACCAGGCTTGTCATTGCTGTCTCCTAGCCTAGCCCACAACTAGTCGCCAACCTATATATATTGCTCTTCAGACTTCACCATTCCATCATGTTTCTCCAATCCTTCTTCTCCTTGAATTCTGCCATTTATTTCCTTCGCTGCTAGGTAATCATTAAATGTTCAAACTCTCACCGCTTTTCGGTTGATTTCATATTCCCATCCTCCCCTGCCCAAATATAAACTATTGTAATCTGCTTGTATTTGTTTATTTTTTTTAAAAAAAATTATTTTTTCAAGTCTGGAGGTATGGGTCGTTTCGGTGGTCGCGGAGGCGGAGGCGGAGGCGGAGGCAGAAGCGGAGGTCAGTGTCCCGAAATTGCGTTCTTTTCTAGATCAAGAATCGGCAAAGATATATCTGTGTGTGATTGAATTAGTTCCCCCAAGATATTGAAAATTTTGAACATAGAAGTGCGGTTGGCAATAATACGGAGACGTATGACTGATTTGGTTTGTGTTCTTTCACATTCGGATTTCTGTTATGGGAGGAAGAGTAGAACGAAGTTTGTCCTTCTACAAAGCTTGATCTTGTGTCAGTGTCGTAATTAGCATGACTCTCCTTGGCAAGATTGACGAGTACCTATTTGTTTAATTGCACAGCCATATTTTTTGTTTTAATCCATCATTTGTTTTTAATCAACCTCTATTATTGTTACAGTTTCAATGTTTTCCTCTCTCTATTTGTTCTAGTAATATTTTGTTTTGATGTGCAGGAGGGTTTCATTCATCTTCTGGCTTAACATCTAAGAATCGTAAAGATGGTAAGTTATAACCTCCACCCTGCTGATAAAGAAGTAGAGATTCTATCTATCCTTTTTGTTTTCCTAGTGGTAGATGTTAGGCGTTATCAAGTTTTTCAAGTTTTTTGGTTGCAGGGTTATCTATATTTCTTTTCTTTTCTTTTCTTTTCTCCTTTTTTTCTTTTCACTATTCTGTTTATGTTTTATCAACTTTTTTGGGTTGCAAACTCGCCTTTTGCCTCTGTGTTTTGGAGGTATACTACTTTGATGTGATACTAATGGTTCAGAGAGTCATATTCCCAGGAGGTTTAACCTATTTACTGCAAGTGGCTAATGGCTACTGCTAACGAGTTGTTTTAACTAGATGCTAATGCTTTCTGAGGATGTTGTATTTATGATGGAATTTCTTTATATCTATGTTCATTGTATATGGAAGGTGAACTTCGGAAGGGTTGTGTTGCTGCTAATAGTGGATCAGCATTTTGGTCTTGGTGGTCATCTCTTGGTGAGGCAATGGATTGTCGGCAACTTTATGTTGTATATAATAAGGTAAAGTTATTTACCCAAAATGTGCTGTGTACGATATTAAGCAACATAAACTTGAAGAGAAGTTGCTTGTTAAATATTTTACTTCTGAAATTGTAATAGTACATTTGAGAAATTCCTTTGAATTTATGCTTATTAATTTCATTTTTTAAAACTAAGCATGCCAAACCAACATTAGTTCAAAAACATAATTTGGGAAAACCTCCTTGAAAAGGTCCTATTGATGCATGATGCTCGTTCTCAGGAAATGGAGGAATGACATAGTTTCTATGCTGCTGTATATTATAGGTTACAATTATTATTCCTTTTGAGGTGTCACTGTTAGTTGTTTCATGTATACTTTTGATCACATTCTTCTTTTGTATGAAATGCAGTGTTTGGGTAAATTGGAGGATAAGGAAGATGATAATCTAGGATGCTATCGTTATTGGCAACAGTTTGAAGGGCCATGTGGTATGGTATTGGTTAACAATTGTTTGTCGTTTATAATGGCTTCTTAATTCTCTTCCTCAAACATTTGTATAGCTTTAAGATGCATTTAAGTGGAATTTAATTTACTGTATTGATGTGTGTGAGTGTGTGTGTGGATCTTCCATGTTTATGTATGAATTGCTTACCCTGTGCTCTGTGGGTGTGTGAGTTTCAATGTTTATCTATGAAATATTGAAAGACTTTCCCTATGTTATGGATGAAATTGGTTTGTTGTTTTCTGGCATACTGTTTAGATGGGAATAAGGATTATGGAGGTATTTGTTTTTCCTTCTCGTTGAAAGTGCCTAAACATAAAGTGTAATCACAATTTAGCCTCTTTGTTTTGCATTTCCATAACAGATAAATATAAGTCTCGTTGGAGTAGGTGGTGGACAAAGGAGGATGAAAAAGCCCACTGTAAGGGTTGGTCAAAAGAATATGAGAAGGTAAAGTTCTTTTAGCAGTAGTCTCTATGCTGTTTACCCAGAGAAACTTTTTATTTATTTATTTATTTTTTATGTCCTTCTCTATGCTATTTACTTGCCTGATAAAGAGTATCTCGTTATTTAATCAGCTTCTCTTCAGATATTGAAATGCGGGTCAAGATTTTTTTTTCCCTGTTTACATATATTTGTGATGATTGTTAAAAGTCAAACAATTAAACTGGATTAAAGACAATTTTTAATTAATAATAATACTAATATTAATAATAATAATAATAACAGAAGGTTTGATTTCCTTTTGATGTCCTCAAAAAAAGGGGCAATTTTTGGGATGTCTATTGCTTATAAAATGGGAATGACTGTTTTGAGAGTCACAAAGCGTGAGACCCTAACATTTCTGTTTGTTCTTTAACTTCTTTCCTAGGGGCCTTGGTTAAGGAAAAAGGGTATTATGGTTTGTGCAATGTTGAACTATAGGGTTAACCTTGTGATTAAAGGTTACTATATATATATATATAAGGAATAGTACCTATTCGTCTTACCTTCTAAAGATTAAGAGAAAAATTACCTCAAAACTACTTCATTTCAATAAATTCCTATTGAAAAAGTCTAAAATACCTTTTTTTTAAAATATGAATTAGAGTATTTTTAGTCATTTCTAGATGTAGTTTTGAAATAATTTTTTTCATAATCTTTAGGCGATAAGCACTAACCCTATATGTGTGTGTGTGTGTATATATATATAAGAATGTAGGGCATGTCATCTTCTAAAATTTTTTTTTGGAGGATATGTTTAAAAATCTACATTTTAATTAATATTTTCAAAAATCGGCTATTGGATTGAAAGTTTTATTCATGTAGACCATAAACGTCAATTTTTATATTGATCTAACACATGTAATCTTTTGATAAAGGAAACTCTATTTACTGATATATATATTTAATTGTGTTAAATTTTCTATAGTTAACAAAGTGGTTATGCCTATTAGAACAATTTAAAAATTAGCATGCATGATTTGTATGAATAAGAGTTTT